AACATTCATAGCGCAAGTTTTGAAGGTTTCTGTGGGCAAAATATTTTTAATATTTCAGGAAGGATCAAAAGGTAATGGAAAGAGTACACAGAATTACTGTACCAAAGTCCAACCATTTCAGGTGTAGCATATGAGCAAGAACTGATGATACCGAAGGGAGGAAGTCCAAGCTGTACTGAAGGTACTGGTGAAAAAGCAAGGATTCGAGAAATGAAGGACTACAATTGAAATTATAAACAAAGTACTAGGGCATTCCTTGGTCTACACCAAGACATTTGGAAGGCATTTATTAAGCCAGCCAACTAGATGAGATCCGTATTTGTGCCCATTCTAAAGAAGGGTTGAAACCATCAAAAAATGTCATTGATAGCCCGTTGCATACATTTTTTTTCTGAAAGTAGTTCAAAAACAGCTGAAGCAGTGCACCTATAGGGAGAGGATGTAGAGGATATCATTGCTCATGTCTCATAAATCTTGGCTAAAAGCATAGAGTACCAAAAAGATATTGCCTTGTGTTTCATTAACTGTATAAAGGCATTTGACTATGTGTATCCTAACAAACAATGGCTTACATTGTAAAGAATAGGAATTCCAAAACTGTAGTCTTCAGAATGGATTACATCATTATGATAAAATGAGAAATGATTGATGGTTATGGATTTCACTTTCTTTGGATTTATAATTGGTGCTCATAGAAGTAGCAGCCAAGAAATCAGCGATGTGTTAAGTTGGTCAGATTTCTTGCAAATGACAGACTTAAATGTTAGAGGAATTATGTCCCTTTGAGGACTAAGGTGCGCCTGACCCAAGCTATGGTATTTTTAAAAAATCATTTTATTGGGGAATCTTAAACTCATTACAGTCCATACATCCATCTATTGTGTGTCAAGAACATTTGTACATTTGTTGCCTCATCGTTCTCAAAACATTTTCTTTCTACTTGAGCCCTTGGTATCAGCTCCTCATTTTTTCCCCTCCCTTCTGCCATGGTGTTTTTAATAGCTTCATATTTATATGAAACCCAGTCAATGAATAAGGACAAGTGAATAACAATTGATGACTTTGAATCATGGTCTTGGTAAAGAATATACTATATACTAGACACAAACAAATTTGTGTCTGATAAAGTAGCTGGAGTGCTCCTTAGAAGAAAAGAGCAAAACTTTGTTCTCATACTTTGGACAAGTTATCAGAAGGGGTCAGCCCCTGGAGGAAGACATGGTGAATACAGTAGGTTGCCAGTGAAAAAGAGGAAAAACCTTAGGTGGGACGGATTAACAGTGGATCCAGCCGTAAACTGAAACATAGCGACAATTATAGGAAAAACATTACCTTTCGGCATTAGTTTCTAGGGTTAACATCCATGACTAAGAAGTCTGAAGTGTATTAAAATGTGTAGATTTGCCCTATAGTTTCCCTTTTTTTACTTGAATTCTTCAATGGAATTTTTGTTCAAAACATTTAGTAATGGTAGCCAGGCTCTATCCTATTCTGGTCTCCTGGCAAAGGAAGCAATTCTTCCTGGAGGCAATGAGCCACACATTCTTATGTCCTACTTCTTCCTCTATTGCACCAGGCAAATAGAGACCAATTGTGATCCATTGCACCGGTGGCCTCTTGTTAGCTTTTTTTTTTTTTTTTTCTTGTTAGCTTTTAAGACCTCGGGTACACAGAAAACTAGATGATAGAACAGAAGCACTGCACAAATGGACCTATTGTCCAACTCTGCCAGCTCAGCATTTTTTAGGTGTAACTTATCGACAGCAATTATAATAATTGGCTGTGGAAGTCTATATCAGTTTCCATACCCCCTTCCTTTCTCCCTCCTGCTACTAATAAACATTGTCTTCTATACACTGCCTTCTCAGTTTTTTTATATAAGGGATATTATACAATATTTTCCTTTCAGTGATTGGCTTATTGCATTTATATGTTTTTTCAGCTCTACTCATATTGTAGCATATATCAGGACTTCATTTATTTTATAAGCTTATTTGTGTTCTATTTGTACCGTGTTTTGTTTACCTGTTTATTTGTTGTTGGATGTTTATTTTATTATTATTACTTAGCTATTGTGAACCCAAGTATTTTTTAATAAAACAATGTCTCATCCCCACTTGCATCGGTCAAGGGTGTATTGTTCAAATCTTTTATTAGACTTGCTAGGTAATTTTGCACTGTGAGTATTGAGTATCACTGGTCAAGAGGCAGGAACTTCACACTGACTTTTCCACAACACTTCCTAAGTAAAGGAGCCTTGGTGGCATAGTGATTAGAAGTTGGCTGCTAACCGCAAGGTTTGCAGTAGAAATCACCAGCCACTCTTACAAAGATGGGACTTATTACTATTGTAAAGTCTAAGCAACTCACTTCAAGAGCTACAGTCTCGGAAACACAGGGACAGTTCTACCCGCTCCTTTAAGGTCATTATGAGTCAGCATGGACTCAATGACAGTGAGTTTTGTTTGGTTTGGTTTGTTTTTTCCTAACCTCGGTTATCAAACGGCTCCAAGCTTGAACTTTGCTCTATGGTCAACCAAAAATCCCACTTGAAAAACCACTTGCGAGTAAGTCATGTGTGGAATCTCACCTCAGACACAAGAGGTTGATGCTTCAGTCTGTTAAGTGCCACTCTCATTGAGACAACATGTAATGCTGGTGCTAGTGTTTTAAAAACAATATCATCATGCTTGTCTTTGTTTGCATTTTATTTGAATGAAGTAACGTCACTGTGGTTCCAAAGAAAGTTTCTGATACTAGCAGTAAAGTTAAGAGGAGAACTGAGAACAACTATAGAATTAAAGAAATCAATTCGAAATTTGAGTTAGGTTGCCACTTGTCTGATTTGTCAGTTGAATACAATGTGGATACATCTACATTGTCAAAACTTTTTGGCGGGGGGCGGGGGGATTGTGATTACAGAGACTAATGTAGCAAAAGATGTGGAATCATTAACCATAAAACAAAGAACCCTGACTATCAAAGAGATTGAAAAGTTACTGTTAAGTTAGATAAATCAGAAACAACTCAATGCAGTAGCTATCCAAGATGGAAATATACAAGAATGCTAAAATCCTCCATAGTGAATTTATAAGTATAATTTTGGGGCCTCAAAATCAATTAATTGATTTTCCATTATTTCTTATGGGAAAAATATGTTCAGTTCTCAAACTTTTCAGAGCTCGAACACGATTTTGGAACAAATTGAGTTGGACAACCAACATGTTACTGTACTTATTTCTAAATATTTTCAAAGATGAAAATAAAAGCAAAACAAACTGAAAAACTTGAAATGTCACAGTCTCTGGTTAGTCTTCTCTAGCTGTGCTTAACTTTGTAGATGATAGAAGCTTGACAGTTTCCTTGTGTGCATGTTTTGCTGATTAATGGATCCACCAGGATCACTGGTAGTGCTGTGGTGTTCGGTTGCTAACCACAAAATCAATGGTCAACCTCATCTCCCTACTCCACAACAGAAAGATGTAGCTGTCGGTTCCTCCACATGTGTAGTATTGGAAATGCTACATATGCCTGAGAGATGAGTCAGTCAACTTGATGGCTGTGGGTAATGAATGTACCAGTTAATCTTGGGTCTCTTTTAATTGTTACTCCAGCTTAGTATTTCACCTATACCAGGTTGTGTTTCTTCTTGATTTAATTTAATTTAGCAACATTTATGAGACACTAAAATTCTCAACACTTTGCACACTGCTTTTCAGCCAACTGAAATTTTAAAACTGCTTTTAAATCTCAACTCAAATGACACCTCAAGGTTTTTCCCAGCCTCCTGAGAAGAGGACCTTCTTACATCTGTATTTTCATATAATTTTGTATTTCCTTGCTTTATAGCACTTAACACTTTGTGACATAGGGAATTGTTTGAGCCTTGCTAGATTGTGAGTTCACGTAATTCAGAAACGACATCTTGCTCATTGCTCTGTCCCTCGAGAAACTGAGACGGTGCCACAATTAAACAGGTACTTCGTACAAGGGAATTACATCATCTGTGCATTTAACTCTGATACTTGTATTCTAACCAAGAGAGAAAGAACTGAGGTAATTAGTTTCTTCTGCCATTCTGTACCTAGGACCAGGTGTAAGATAAGAAATATAAAGCTGTTTTTCATTGTGCTAATTTCTATTCCTACATTACTCTAATAGTAAATTCTTAGCCAACTTGTGGGATTTTTTTCCTTTGAGATATTTTTCATAACATCATACTTCAGATAGTGCTCAATCCAATGATAAAGGAAATGCCAGCTGTGCTGGATTTCCTGGGGGCGATCAAGAGTAGTTTCAACCAGATTAATCTTTATTATATAAATTGACTTCATAATTGTGTGGGAAAGCTTCATTAACTTTTAATGCTATTTCCCCCATTTATAAAACCCCGCCATATCTGATTTTCAAGCCTACATTTGTGAAAGATAAGTATGTCTCACTATAGTTTTAGTAAATGAATAATCTGTCCTTATTCCAAGTTCCTGCAGTATTTTAAAATTTTATGACCAAAAATATTTGCTGTTTATTTCATAATTATTCATGTCTTATCTCAATAGTTAGAAAGAAGGAATCATGTCTTCATATCTCTTTGCATATAGCATACTACTTGCCTTGTAATATCTATAGAATCAACAGACATTTCTTTTAAAAAATGTATCAATTGGGAGTTAATACATGTATCATTCCATAGGTCAGTCACATCAAGCATAATTGTACAATTGCTACCATAGTCCGTTTCCAAACATTCGTGTACTTCCTGGACTCCTTGAGGCTGTCTCCCTTTTACCCCACCACCACCTCACCAAACCCTTATCTACTTGTCCTTAGTTCATCAATCCTGGATCTGAACAGACATTTTTAATATACTCATAATGTTAAAGTATAAGGGATGAATAACCCAGGAGATCCAAATCCTTTAATTCATCCGATGGTCACTCACCTTTACTTGATGCTATTTGCTCCATTTTCATTTTCACTTATCTTTCTCTTTACCATAGCTCTTTCGACGTGTTGCAGCAGCATTGCCTGGAATGGAAAGCACACAGGACAGAGGCAAAGAAGACAGTATCCTTTTTGTTTCATCAGAAAATTTTATTGTAATTCTTGTCTTTATAGATCCTAGTGTGGTTGGCTAAGATTATTGTACTGTTGCCTTTTATAGCCAGGAATTGATGGCAAAGGCGCATAGCAGCTCAGATTTTCTACAGCCAATGGTTACCTATATGCACCTTTCGCAGCCTGCTTTTCACAATTATTCATTACGAGAGAGAGGGTTTATAACAATCAGGAAACTTTGCTTTTTCTAATATTTGAGATTTTCATTGCACATAGGCCAAAAGTACTAAAGGCTGGAGATTTCAGAAACAGAACATTCTTAGTGAAGCCCATCTAATTTTAGTTGGGTCGAAAGATTTTTAATTTTGAACCTTTTCATGTATACATAGTTTTATTAAGCCGTAGAAGTAATAGCACTTTGTATGTAACTCATCCCACTTCTAAAAGTTTTGTGTTTTCAAAGTCTTTTATTAGAGTCTTCCTTTGTTGTTGGAATGCTCTTCTAGACCTTTTTCAGATTTTGATCTCCGAATAGTAAATAGTGACTGTGTTGACTGAAGTAAATAGGATTGTATGGGGTAAGTCTGTGTTCAGCAGAATTGTACTTCCTCGTTTATGAATCCTTAACTTTTATTTCAGTGATTGACATAAAACTGGAAAAGCCTCCGGAGCAACCTGTCAGCGAAGGAGGCTGTTCCTGCTAATCTCCCATGGTATCTTCAGCCTTCTCTAGAAGCTCACTGCTTTGCCCCCCAACCCCCGTACTCTTTCATTGACTGCAGTGTGAATATTGGCTTAAACCTTTTCCCTTCAATAATAACGTATTGCAATTCATCATTGCTGCCTGTCTCGTGGAGATGATCTATTAGCTTCACAAGCACAAAAAAAAGTCAGTGTCTTCATTATTTGTATTTCACAAAAAGCCAAAAGATTTCAGCGTATTCCAGTGATAACTTTAAAAATTAGATGCGGTTTCTTAACATTTTTTTCCTTTTTTAATGTTATGATAATGTATTTCAAAATGATGGACATCTTAATAGTATAAATGTGGCATGTGGCTTGGTTGACGAACAACACGCTCATAACAGCACTTGCCTACCTACTTGATATCTCCCTGCCTTTTTTCACCTAAGCCATTCCTTTGGTACGCCCTATTCTCACCTTCCCTTCCTCAAAACAAACTGGTAGCCGAAGCAGCAGTAAGACCAGGCTGTCTGAATTATCCTTCAATTTTAGGATTTCCACTTTTTTTAGGCCTTCAGGGCCAAAGTGTGCAAAATAATTCTTGAGCACTGATAGAAATTACTAAGACCCCCTTACAGGTCAGAACTCCGCTATCATGGTGGTTAGTGCTTGAATAAGGGTTCTAATGTCTGATGCATCTTCAAAATGAGTCCTACTGAACATATTAAGGACTCACCTGTAGGGGAACATAGAACGTCTTTCTAACCAAAACAAATGACCCTTTCACATGTGCTTTATTAGACTCTAGGAGAGAGATGTGAACAAATGCCTCAGAATAGGTTTTTAATATTGAATTCTTTATTGTGAAAAATCACAAAGTTCTAAGAAACTCTTTCTCCCAAGAAAAGCCTTTTAGAGTAATAGGTTTCTCTTGGGTTTTCTCTCTTTAAAAAAAAAAGAAAGAAAGAAAATGCTGTGCATGTGCCTAGCATTAAGTAAAATTCCTTTAAAAAGAGCTAGTTGAAGAATTCTAGTTTGGCACCATGTTCAAAACTACTATAACCAGTAGAGACCATGGTTATCTAAAAGCTCACCAACAAAAGAATCCTTCAGAGAATAGCAGATACTTTACTCAGGACATTTAAGGTCAAATTGAAGAATGAACGAAAACATCTTAAATTGAAGAAGGAAACTTTTTCCAGAAGCCCTTTGGGCAGATCTGAAAGCATGCATAGAAGAGAGGAAGGAGAGAATGGAAATTAAACTTAATATTATGCACATTTATGCCTTACTTTTAGCTTTTTTTTTTTTTTAATGTTGGGTTGCTCAGGCTGGTTTTGCTTTTTATTAGATCTGTATAGTTTGATAAATTAACTGGTGATTCAGTTTTATATTTAAGCTACAATTAATTTTTTTTCCTTTGGTGATATTTATTTTTCTGCTTTTAAAAAAATAACTTTTCAGGTTATGGACATTATGTTGAATATTTAGAGCTTGATCACCTTGGCAATATGTATTTCCCTTGAAACACTGCAAACACATGTACTGGGCGTGCACCCTTTTAACCTTTACTAGTTATCGTGAGGTTGCTGTGTAAGTTAATAAACATATTTGTAAATACATTGTTTGCAGGAAGAAAATTTCTGAGCATCAGCTCAGGGAAACCCTGCTAAATTTATGTTGTAAGCATTACTTACCACAGTATAGAGGTGAAAAGATAACAAAACTATCTTTGTACTTCCTCATCTCCTCATTGCAACAAAGCCCTTTAACTGGGAACCTTATTCCCTCCCTTTCGTCTTCCTCTTCCACTTTCCACTTATTGTCACCTTGTAATATTCAGAGAGCACTTGGATTATTGTTCTGAATCGAGAAATGCTTTCAGATACTCCTTGGCCACATACTAGTAACTTATGCTCAAAGACAGGATGGAGTTGTCAAGTGCTTTTATAATGCAATCCTATTGTTAAAGGCAAGGGTTGACTCTTTTGTTTTATTTTGACATGGCATGTCCTGAAATAAATATCAATTCAATATGGCAGATGGGTCATATTCTTTATTTGGAAGAAGTTGTGATATCTGACAAGGGGTGATTGTCTTCCTACATTGATTCTTTTTATGTGTCTTTAAGAAAATAGCCAGTTAAGTGCTTTTAGTATTGGTTTTTGGCTTGGGGTTCTTTAATTGAAGCAGTGAAGTATGTTCATTGTCCAGTGTTTTTTTTTTTAATAAACACAATTTTGCTGCCAAAAATATGAATAAAGCAAGAAAACAATTATTGACTTGGTTTCCCATTCCTACCAAGATGATAAATTTGCATGTGTTTCTAGCTCCTTCTCTAGAAGAGAACTATAAAGGGAAAATGGAATATAGAAAACAACAAAAGCATGAAACCTGTGGAGGTGAGGGATGGGAGTGAGCAGGCAGTTTGAACCCCACAGCCACTCTGGGAGAAAGATGTAACAGTCTGCTTACTTTAAGATTTACAGCTGGGGAAACATCATGGGGCACTCTCACTGCCACCAAATCAATTCCACCTCGTGGTGACCCTATAGGACAAGGTAGAACTGCCCCTTGGGTTTCCAAGACACTAATTGTTTACTCAGGGGTCCTCAAACTTTTTAAACGGGGTCAGTTCAGTGTCCCTCAGATCCCTTGGAGGGCTGGACTATAGCTTTAAAATAAACTATGAACAAATTCCTATGCACACTGCACATATCTTACTTTGAAGTAAAAAAACAAACGGGGCAGGCCGGATAAATGTCCTCGGCGGGCCGCAGTTTGAGGACCCCTGGTTTACAGGAATAAAAAATCACATTTTTCTTTCTTGGAGTGACTGGTAGTTTGAACTGCAGACCTCGAAGTTAGCAGTCCAACTTGTAACCACTATGCCACCAGTGTTCCCTATCGAGTCACTGGGAATTGGAATTGAGAGCAGTGGTTTCAGTCTGTAAACTAGGAACACTGACAGATTGCCTCCTCCAAGTGCTGCTGGAGCTTGAAGTGAAGACCCTAATGAGAAGTACAGTTTTGAGACATCCCTGAACAGTACAAACAGATTAGCACTGGCTAATTAGGTTGGCCGTTTGAGCCCCCTCAGAGGCACCTCAGAAAAAAAGCTTGGAAATGTGTTTCCAAAAGGTCCTAGCCATGCAGACCTTGGGGAACAGTTCCACTCTGCACACACTGATGACCCTGAGTTGCAGCAATCAGTTCAAAAGCAATCAGTTGGTGTGATGGGATGTCCTCCCTGACCTTTGTCCCTTCCCAGGATTTCTTCCCAGACTAGTAGCCTACTCTGCCAGAGGAATCCGCTCACAAGCCAGAGTAGTTAGATACTTGAAAACTGCTTCAGAAGAAAAAGTGAATACCATTGTAAGCAGAAGCATTTTAAGTGAGTTATGGAAAGATACTAACAATTGAAATAAGGATAAATATCATAGCCCGATAAAAGTAGGAAAAGTATAATTGAAATAACACAAATGGATTAAATAGTACACTGAATTCCATTGATTAATAACAACACTGCTCTGAAGGATTCTTCCATTAGAAAGCTGAAAAATAAAGTCACACCCGTTAGCAATTCCAGAGATGAAAAAGCAAGAAGAAAACAAAGTTTTTGACCTTAGTCTTCTTAAGTACATTATGATGTTTTTTAATGTATTTAAGGTTGCTTTTTTTTTTAAATAAATAAATGTAGTTTACTCTGATAGTGTTTAATGGTTTTTAGTTTTTCTACTGAGTTGTAAAACTATCACCACAATTTTAGAATATTTTCATCAATCTTTAAATGCTGTATGTAACCCATTAGTAGTCACTCCCCATTTTACCTCAGCCTCTGCTTCCACCTAGGCCTGAGCTAGTTTCCTTTCTGTCAAATTTTATTTGTTCTGGGCATTTTGTATGAGTGAGATTATATGTTTGTTTGTTTTCCTATTACTCACTGTATTTTTTCCTACTACTGTATATATATATTTTAATATGACTTCTCAGTATTTTCAAGGTTCATCCATGCTGTACCATCTATCAGTACTACATTTCTTCTTCTCCAATGCTAGGCAAGGGGGCTTCACAAAGTTAATTGAAAAGTTCCATTTTCGGGTTTTTTCTACCAACTCTTTGAAGCCCCCTTGCATTGATATGATTTATCACTATTTTGACCTTGAGCCCTTGGCCAAGGTAGTGCTATCAAGATTTCTCCACTGTAAACTGATACCTTTTATACTGTTGAAGGAAGTCATTGCGAAGCTCAACTTCTTTTTTGTCCCACTTAGGTAATCTTTTCAGAACCTTTCAATAGAATGCTTGATTAGTAGTCTGACCTGGTGGAAAGAACTCCAAACGCACTATGAGTCGACAATTTTGTCCGTTTGCGTAGTTGACGGACCTCCAGGAAATGTTTGTCATCAGTCGACATTTCACTTTCTTGAAACGAGAAAAACCACTCATACACTTCAGTTTTTCCCATAGCGCTATCCTTGTGAACTGTTCAACATCACAGTAGTTTCTGCAACATTTTCCCCATGCAGGAAACAAAATTTCACAGCAGCACGCTGTTCTTTCAAATGTGCCATCACAAAAACAAGGTTCAAGCGAAACTGCTTTTAGGAAAAAAATTCACTGTGACCAGAGAGAACCTTCGCAGGAGACACTTCTCGGTGCACTTACTCAAAGCAAGTTGGTCAGTGCTTTCCTGGGGGAATGCATATGTTCTTTTGAGTGCCCCTCTGTATGTGTTTGCTAACATGTATGCATACATGATAACTATGCAGCTGTCTCTGTTGGAGCCCTGGTGGCACTTCCAGGGATCCATTGGACTACTAACCGCAATCTCAGTGGTTCAGACTCGCCAGTTGCTGGACAGGAGAAAGATGAGGCTTTCTGATCCCATAAAGATTTACAGCCTCAGAAACATTGTCATGATGAGTTGGAATTGACTTAATGACAGCAGGGTTGGGTCTCTAGTACACTAAATTTATACTTAGTATTAAATTTATTATTCAGAATTAATACTGATATCTCCAACTCTATTATTGTGGATCATTTTTGTCTTTTCCATTTGCTTATTTATAAGTTACTGCTATATATATATTTATAGCACTGAGAAGTATGTCTCACATCCATCTGGCAGCCATTAACTTCATTATTCAATTCACAGTGTCAGAATTGTTAACCTACATCCCCTAGGAAAACTACCAACTAGAACACTTATGCACAGGTACTTTTGACTTTAGTCCTGTAGGTTACAGTAGAACCCATTGACGTTAATCCCTTCTAGAAGGAGCATCGAGATGCCATGCAGGCAAGTTCCGAATCCAATTTTTCCCAAAATAAAGCGGATTAATCCGTTCTCAACCACAAAGTTTTTACCCTAACCTTGCCTTTTTATACAAAACATACAGAAATTTCAAAATAAGTTCAGAGTTAAATAATTTAAATAAGAAGCAACATTTTTAAAAAGTTTTAAACAACTACAGTATGGCCCATACCTTGAGATTGATGATCTGAATCTGTGGCCACGGATATGGAGAGGAAGTGTGGAGAGATAGTCATTGGTTGGAAGGGGAATCCCCTTCCATAAAATCAACTGGTAGCTGCTTCCCAGTTTTTTCCTTTCTTTGCCTTTTTTCACTAGGACCTGGCTGGCTTTCTCTAAAAAAAAAAAATGTCTAATGTGGTCTGCTGTTGGCATTTCCTTTACTGTTTTCTAAAAGCGTTTATTAAGTCATCAGCAATATCAATTTTGAAATTTAGAAACAGTACCAAAAACTAAGAAATTTATAGCAAATACTTGGAACACAGCCGCAAAAGGTTTAAACCGCCAACTAACAGAGTGACCGAAACACAAACTGCTTTTGTTTACAAAAATCATGTGTGTCAGGTTGGATCCCGATGTTTTTTCAAACTCCGATGCAAAGTTTTCTAACATTGTGTCGAAATCCAATTATGTCGAGTACCAGGGTTCTATTGTACTAATTTCCAAAGTTACTTAGGTCAATAACCTTTCCTTCCTGTTCCTTTCATTGAGATGGTCACAAGTATTTGTAATACACACAGTCTGCATGCTTTCTTAGGAAACCCTGACTTCCTAAATGATTTTATCATTTTTATTTGATTATATTGAGATTCACCCTTTGGGTCAATAAAATTCTATGGGTTTTGACAAATGTATAATACTGTGTTATTACAGTATCATGCAAAATAGTCTCACTGCCCTAAAAATTGCGCTTCCTTTTTCAACCCTCTTGTCATTCCCACCTCTGGCAAACACTGATTTTTTTCACTATCAAAAAAAAAACAAGCAGAAAAGAAATATAAAGCATTTGCCAGTGAGTCTTATTTCAGCCCCTGTGAACCATATTTGTGCCCGAGTAGAACTGCCCCTCTAAGGTTTTTAAGGTTGTGGCCTTTTGTGGAGAGATCACTTGACCTTTTGCCTGCGAGGCTGCTGGTTGGCTTTGAAATGCCTTGAAGAGTGCTTGACCGATCATCTGGAGGCTCCGACTGTCTGCAGCTGTACTTTTCCAGAATGCCATTCTGGAGGAGTATTTTCAAACTGCTTCCACTTACCAATATGTACTTACAAATTCATTCGTGTCTTTTTGTAGCTTTTAAGCTCATTCCTCTCTTGCTGAGTAATACTTTATATTTCATGCTGTACCACAGTTTGTTTATCCGTTCTGCTGAAGGGCATCTTGGTTGCTTCCAGTTTAGGGCAGTATGAATAAAGCTGCTATAAACTTTCAGGTAAAGGTGTTTGGGTGGACATAAGCGTCACCTCAAGTGTCGGAGAACAGTTTTAATGGATCATATAGTAAAGAATTTCATGTTGAAAGAAACTGCCAAAATGCGAGTTCTTATACCCGTTGTTCAGTGTCCTTGCCCACTTTCGATGGTGTTGGCTTTTTTATTTTGTGTGTGTGTGGGAGCGGGGTTGTTCTTTTAGTAAGTGTGTAGTATCTTGTTTTTCATTGTTTAGTTTGCAGCAACTTTTCATATGCCTATTTGTCCACAGTGTGTCTTTGGTGGGGTATCTGTT